CCATATTTATCATTTTCACTCATCTGCAAAAATTCTAATGTGAGAATGGAGAATTTTTCTGGTGACTTTATTTCGAAACTATACGTTTTTCTTAATGTAGCCTAAAGACTGAAAGTATAGTTTTCCCACAATGCCTAGATTAGGCCTTAGGTCGTCATTAAATAACGCGAAGCCCTGCCCCACGTCTCATCGTCTCCAAAAATAACATTTTGTCCTGGTTTTCTCAAAATGGCCAACTAGCATATGCCATTCAAATAAACAAAGTTCTATATATTCTATGTGAATTTGTTTAGAAACTATCAATAGTTTTTTAACACAAACGTTCTCACCTTTTTGGGGACTAGCTTAGGAAAATGAAAAGATCTTGTGTGACATATTAATACCATTGTGAGTAATATTCCACAACCAGTTAAAAAAGGAGATTAAACAGCCTAGGCTGACTAGGTTTTTATTCAAGAACCTGCTCCCATTGAATATCCGTCATTAGCAGTAAAGTAAATTTGATGCATGAAGAGGATTTAGACGTAGTCCCTCACTCGGGCAACAAGACCGACCGGAGTACAGTGTAGCACTTCAGGGTCACAGTGCATGTGAGTTGATAAGGGAGACGAAAGTATCATTTATATCCACACTTGCATCAACTTCACTTAACTCTACGCTTGTTCGGAGAAGCATTAGGTAGGCATTCAAATCATCGAATGTTACATTCAGACCCCAAAATCGGGCCATAAGAAGTAGGCAGGTCAGCATTTTGTGATGACAGAAGTAAGGACGGAAGCTTAGCAAAAATGGATGTGCATAGAAGACCACCAAAATGTAAGTCTCCTCCTAACTTTCTTCTATAACCATCGGTATCAAACTAAATGAAAATGAGGTCTTTTCTACTTATTTCAAGATTTGCTAGTAGTATATAAACCTACTCAAGGTGAATATATATATTTATTTATTTATTTATTTATTTATTTATTCAAAATATGATGAAGAGAAATAAATTTTCAGAAAGGAATGAGGAGTTTAGCAAGTCTTCTCGGTTTCCCATGAAAGAGCATAAATTCTGGGAAAGTGGAGCATAAGGAGAGAGTTTAAAGGAATAATATCACTTTCCTTGACTATGTCATCATTTCAAGAGTAGTAGAACTCTCTTGATAGATCTATTTGTCTCATGCTTTTATGCTCATATTGTAGTACCTGAGTGTTGAAGACCTTGTGTGCTTCATGTAAAAAAGGATATTTCAACGCCATACATAATTAAACAGTCATTTCAACGGCTATAAAACAGACTACCACAGGCATTATTCCAAAAATCTGACAATTTTGTGAATATGAAAAGATTAATAACTAAATACACATCACATTTGATTTATACACAATAAATAATTTTAAGTCAGGAAATTGCTGAGGCCCTTCCTCGCTACCCCAAAATCGTCAGTGATGCAGTCCCCCTGATGGTAGCAACCATGCCTTAAAGTAGTCGGCGTCTTGTCTATTCTTAATGAATTGAGCTCCGATTCTGTCTTGATTCAAACGGAAGGATGTTCGGTGCCGAGAAAACTTGATGAGGAGTCGAGACCAGTCTTGACTTGGGACCATGCTTCGTGTTTGTTGGAGGTATGCTCGAAAGGCCAAGGATCCTCGTGACACATGCCGCTCTTCAGAGTGGAAGGGAAATTCCACTCACTCGTCCGAGCCTCGCCATTTGCATCCTCCTTTCCATCGTCTCGCATTAACCGCAATACAATGCCATTGGCTGTCAGATTGGGAGCCCATCCCCTTCTCTTCCGTGGGTGGTAACCGTGGCAGTTTGACCTCATACTTTGTAAGATTATTCAATGCAGTTTATATGGACTATGATAGAATTTACAACTTTCTAAATCATTTGGTGGTTAATTGGTTAATTTTAGTGAGGTTAGGCATCTTGACTCCGAGAAAAAACTCCTGTTTCTCTGCAATGATATGATTTGTCGTGTAAAACAAATTGGAATTAAGTATCTAGACCAATTTCATTGTCAAAAGCATGTTTATGCGTTTTCACCCGATTTCGTTTAAGATGATGGAAGACGGGTAGTTCAATTTTCCCACAATGATATGAGTAGAGCTGATGTTTTCCATCAAATTTCATATAGTCCTAATTTCCCAAAAGTTATTCTCATCCTGGCTGGAATGGACTGCAATTTCGACCTGGCATAATTCTTATCGAACAGCGCAAGCAGGAGTTGAACCAACTTATAACTGATTTACTGATAGTCTCGCAAACCTACTCACTCACGAAAATAGTAATGTCGTCGATTGCTATAGCAAATATAAGTTTGTTTCATCGACAATCGCAACACAGAATGCGAGATGGAAAATGCCTGAAATTCTTGGAAATGCACATCTGCCTTGTGACCCAAGGGCACTCGTGGCAATGTGACGCAGTGGTTAACCTGTCGAGATTACACGCTGAACTGTCATAGTTCGACTCCCGTTTGGGGTGTTGACAAGACCTGTGCTGGGTCGAAATTGCAGTTGACTGGTGTTTGGATGAGAACACCTTTTGGGAAAACAAGGCTATGTGAAATTCAATGGAAAACATCGGTTCTATTCATATCATTGTGGGAAAATTAAACTACCAGTCCTCCATTATCTTAAATGAATTAAAGTGAAAACAACCCATATACTTACTGGTAGTCTGGAAAACCTAGACGTTCACAAAAACAAGTTTGTCTGATTGGCAATACCACTAGAAAAAGGTTGAGACTCCAGTTCGCTCTGGGTGAAAATGCCGTTTTTATGGGAAATCCCAACTGCAATTTTATCACATCGTGAAGCTTACTCATCCAATTGTGGAAATTCACTCCCCCATCAGTCATTAAATCACGTGAAATCCCATAAGCTGGCAAATTTATAGTACTAGAAGTAGCCAATCTCAAAGATTATTAATACTTAAATTAAGACAATAAGACCAGGTTTGGATGGCCCAGTGGGAAATTTCTGCACATCCACTGTTACAGACCCAGTGAAATGGTGACACTAGACCAAATGTCCATTCCAGGCGCGAGGAGAGCGGCCTTTAAGGATTCACACTAAATGCCCATAATGGGTAGACGCGAGCTCACTTCCTGTGACCCCATGCCCAAGGGTGCCTGTTGCTGGGATTGGCTGGAGACTGCTCTGAAGAAGCTGATGGAACAAGCAAAGGGCATAATCAACCGTGAACACATCAAAGGGACCTACCTATTCGACGCTTTCTGTCTGCAACTCTCAGTACGGTTCTTTACGGTGTTTTGAGACTGTTGATTGGAATGATGCCTTTGGAGTCGAGCAAAAATGGCCCATTATCTTGGCTTTCGCAACTGAAATCATACATTCCAGGTAGGAGGAGGCAGTTACCAAAAAAACACTGAATGCCAATCTCCGTTTCTCGATCATACACAAAATTGCACTGGAACAAACACGCAAACAGACACGCAAATGCACAATCAGACAACAGCTAAACCCATTATATGAACAGCAGATTGGCTTAGAAATTGGGAAATAAGATAAGCAAAGAGTCAATCATGAGATTGACGAAGTTAATCATGAATACTGCATAATATACCCTTAATGGTACATTATATAAGCAGGCCAGAGGCTTGGTAGTGGGATTGTGTTTGCTCGCAGATTTAGCTAATTACTGCATGACCCATTTTGAGCTTCGGCATTTTCAAGAAGCCCTCCTGGTTATGAAACTACTAATCAGATCTATGAAGGATTGAAATGCTATCTGGTAGCATAGCGCAGGGAGTCTGGAAGGCTTGCTTAGGTTAATGAATTGATTAGATATTACGACTGAATTCACCGTAGAGCTAAAAAATAACAGTAAATCACCCTTTTAAGATGCCATAGTGATAAAGGTTGGGAGCCAATTGAATACGCACGTGTATAGGAAACCCATAAATACGCGTCAAGTCATACTTATGATGTTAAGGTGGGAGTTATTAAATAAATTATAGCAAGGAGTTTGCGTCCAGCGGGCACATGTCAGCAGGATCAAGAACTAGAGAGTCTGCGGCGAAATCGTAGTTGAGAACAATTATCATTTGGGATTAATTGTTAATAATTTCGAAATACTAAGAAATATGGTGAGAGGAGACCCGTATTTTGGAAAAAAACAGAAAATTAGACAACTCTCTGTCCAGGTTCATAATTCTACCGTAATATATATGATAAGAAAAGTTGGGGGACCTTCATTTCGAATGAAAGTGCATGAAGAAGAGATTCGTTTGTCGATTTCACCAGTTGAGGACGAATGAAAATCGTTGTACTGCAGCCGTTTAGCTTTTATATGATATTCATGTTGACGCT